GCACGATTTAAGATATATATTAGATTTTTAAATAGCATTGTTCTAACATAAGTATTTTGACACAAAATTGGACTTTTTCTGAAATAACATACCAATTTTTTTCCATATTTCGATTCTAAGACTAAAATTATGCCTAGATATTAAACTTTGTAAAATTTGGTGCGAAATTTACGGAGAAACATTTATTTTGGCACAATTTTTTCAGTTTGCGCCAAGAATAACTTTTTAATAATAACTTAATAAGGAAATAGAGAACACATAGCCACTTAATATATATGGCAACCAGTTTTCCTTTCCCTTCCACTATGCCGGAGCGGAAAAAAAGCCACACGTTCCTACCGTTTTACATTGTGCATGAGCGAAAAAAAAATTCACATTGTTTCTACTTTCAAATAATTTTAGCAAAGTGTGTAAATCACATTTGATGTTTTATTGCTTTCAACAAATATGCCAAATTTTAAAATGCACCAGTATATAAATTCACGTATATCTTCGGAAATTTTCAATAAAAAACTGTAATTTTTTGCAGATATGCTTAGAAATACGTCTACTTTAAGATGCTGGTAAAAAAAATTATAAATTACAATTCAAAAATTATTTTTCGAAAAATTTATAAAAAATTATTTAAAAATAAAAAATTTTTTAAAAATAAATCATAAAAAAGTGGATGAACTTTATTTAGAATGAACCCAAATTTCGAAATGTGAAAGGAAGAATCAAATAAGTTTAATAAAAAAAGTGAGATTAATAGATATATACCAAACTCAATTAACAATGAAAAGCTAAAATTTTGACAGCTGATTTTTACAAAACTTGGTAGTTTGGCATAATTTGAATAGTAGAATAGAAATATGGAAAAAACTTGGTGTGTTATTTCAGAAAAAGTCCGATTTTGTGTCAGAATACCTATATTAGACAGCGATAAATCTAATACACATCCTTAGTCGCGCTTTCGAGACATGAAAAACGCAAGTTGAATTTCGCCAATCGGCCTAGTAAAACGAAAGATACAGAACTACCCCCCCTTTTTTTTATTGCGCAGTGTACGTCTTGGCTGAATGATGTAGAATATCATTGCTTAAATGAGCGTTTCTTAATTTTTTACCTGGAACACTTTTTGATATCTACTTTTATCGTGCAATCCCTGGGTTGCATCAGTAGTAGGGTTTAAATGCAACATTCTGTAAATTGATTACTTTCGGAAAAAATGACAATTATTTCATAAAATACTTATTTGCTTTATTAATTAATTCAAAAATTATTCTTAATTATCCCTAAAGTTCTTAAAATAACATATTCAAGTAAGACATTTAAATTTTAAGGAGATGAATGATACTGCCTTTTTATTATCATAGTTTTACTTAACATTACGCTTTATGGCTGATAGCTGAATTCTCATGTGAAGTTCGGCATAAAGTCTGATGCAATATCTATTTTTTGTCGGCATATAAGCTGAGAACTTCGCTCCTCACATGCATGTAGTTGCAAATGGAAAAAGTGCCAGTACTTTCTTCTGTGACGATTGATGATATTAATCTTTTAGACAGCATCAGGATTCCATTGAGGATATTAATTAAAATTTTTGTTGTCATTATGATTCAGACGTCCTTTCAATAAAAGTTTTGTACTCTTCTGCTGATATGGTCGAACGCCGTAAAGTAATAATGAATGAGTTTTCAATCCACAATTCATTTTGGTATTTAATTTTTTGAGCCCACCAGTGGCCGAGCGGTAAAATCGCTCGGCGATATCATATTATCTATGGAGCGGTAAAATCGCTGAACACTGGTAGTTCGGTCCGAGGTTCGAATCCCGCGAACGGGCTGACTGCATGGGCGTTTTCGTGGTTTTCACCATGTGTAACGTGTATACGAGCCAGTTTCCCTTAGAAAGTCCTCCACGAAGGCATCCCTCCCCTTAGGCAGATAGCCCTAATGTGCTTTGCCATAATTAAATACACCAAGACCATTTAATCTTCTGCTCATTTGGAAAATACTGATTAGAAGCTTCACACAAACTTTTCAAGTTTTGGATAATTTTTTTTAATAAACGTCTTACCTGTTTCAAACCCTTCCTCTTCTGAAAAGCTTTCTTTTTCGGGAAGCAATCAGAATCGTAGGAAATTGTAAAACTTCTAACGTTTTCTTGAAAGTATGAATTTTTTTTTGGTAAGTAATAAATAAATTTATTTGTTTGCCCTGAAGGATTAAATTAAGCTCATTGTAAAAATATTACTTAAATGGAAAATTTTAAGCAGCCAATTTCTATCAAATAATCGACTTTTCAGCTCGAAAATATGTTCTAAAACGTCTCGCAGCTCTTCCGTTAGCTCAAATTACGGGTTAGTGTCTTTCCTCGAGATAAACACCTGAAATCAGTATGTAGAGAAGGGATGTATGTACACCTCCCATGTCCTCTTTTAGTATTTTGAATAAAAGACTAGTTAATGGTAGAGACTTTATAAAGTTAATGACTTTGACGACTTCATCAAAAGCAATATGTGAGGGATATTTTTTTGCAGCAAGTGTGCCTGTCTATGGATCATGCAGTGGATACAAGAAGAGTTTGGGGCGATATTTTTTTAAACAAGGTACCAATTTTGGTTAACATCAATTATTATCAGATAACGTTGCTTAATATTGGCAACGTTATCTGATAATAATTAATCGATGTCTACCAGAATCTTTTCATTCACAGAAAACAGCGATGGTTATATTTCATTGCTGAAGACACTAGCATTTCTGTTCTAATACCTATTTGAAATTTCATGTATTAAGTGCTGCCTTACCCTTTATCCTGCTATAGTTAGTGCCATGCAACTACACGTGTACGATCTATGGTGAAATTCGTGGTGTCTCTCCCTACAAATTCAACGAATAGTATTAATACATATAACTAAAGCGTTTTGTACTACACTAACATCTGCTTTTTAAGTTCTCGTTGCAGCGCTTCCACTAGATATTAAAGCATAACAGGAATCAAAGTTATTTCGACTCTTCCACTTTCAAGGGGTTTGACTTGTAGATGAATTAAATATACCAAGTTCTGTAGTGAAGTCCTAAAATTGAGCAAACATCCACCTGAATCCACATCAATCGTATGGCATATGAAGGTTCCCAAAGAAAAGGGAATAAAAAATTTTACAGATGGATCAATTATCCAAGATAAAGCTGGAGCTGCATTTATAGCTTACAAAGATAAGCAAGTTATAATATGTAAAAACTTTACAAGGACTTTAAAGGATACAAGCACAGTTTACCAAGCCGAAGCAATAGTTTTGAAAGAAGCCATTCTACAGCTAAATGACTTTCTGAAAGTAATAAGTCACGATATGCGAGCATTTATACAAATAACCAAGATGTTTTAAAGGCGTTATGTTCCACGAAGGAAAAACCTTTACTTAATCAAACTCTTCGAGAAACAATAAATATGGAAATGAATATTCGACCTATTACATACTGCAGATATCAGAGTTCATAGTTTCGCCAAGTTTTGAGGAAATTAAAATGAATCCAAACTTTTCGTCCCTAAAAACAAATAAAATTATCCTTTGAAATTGAGGATTTCGTTTAACACTCTTCTGTAATTACCACCTCCAAGTAAAGATTTATTTGGTATCTAGCTATGAGTGAAAAGCTAGGAATACGTATGACTCTTCAGAGAAGCATGAGAAATCCGTTTTACAACATTTTGCTTTTCCCATTCCATGAAAATGAATACAGTTTCTTATTATTAGTAAAAATTAAATATATGGGATTTAACTCAGTGTCTGTTGCTTAGTTCGTTGAGGTAAGTTCGAAAATACTCTTTATAATCATGAAACTATACTGAAAGCTCCCTGTGAAAAGAAATCGCCAATTCGAAATTTCAGAAACTTATCTTCTTACATTCGCTACCTTCAGATGCTATTCATTAATGTTGTTCGCTGCAGTTTTTTCCAATTTTTTTTCGGATTTCATATAGCTCGAATCCCACATATTCTTCATTCATTAGACCACTTGCTGTTTCCAAACTACTCATACAAAACTGAAAATATACTTCTTTTATATAATAAGTATAATATACTTAAGCGCTGAGAAATTGCTTATTATCTATATTAAACTTTTCCGCACAAAAAAGATTATCAGAAAATTTGACAAAGCTTTTGTTATAATCTTTGAAATATCTAGATAATAAACTAATACTCATTCTTTCTCGCATATATGATACCTCAAGAGATGGTGTAAAAACCGAAGTGCTGTGATCGTGACAACAATATCAGTCTTCACAAAAAATAAGTGGTAAATCACGATGTTACATACATAATTCCACAAAACGTGAGTGTTAAGTCACGCAGAATAACTCGTGATTTCTGTAAAGCTGCAAGAGCTGACATTAAAATGATTAATTCCTGTGATTTTATATCAATAATGAAACAAAGACATTAATTTTTTACTGTCAGTTTAATGTGTACCTGTGATGCCATCTGGTGGCAAAAATAATCTTTGATGTTCTGAATAGCGATATATTTCGTTTTGGACTGAAAAACTCATATAATAGAGAGTCTAATAGAAGGTAGCATACTAAAAGTGATACCTATTTGATGGTGATCTATCCAGAAATGTTTCCTGTGTCAATAATAACTCATATATTATCATCACAGCGCAATTCAGAACTAGCAATTCCATTGTCAAATATTCATCTTTTGATAGAAATATAGAAGTGAATGAAAGTAAGGTTGCTTTCACAGATGAAAACGAAAACTGCGGAAACAGCTTTTACTCAAGCCCTTAGCAAATAGTAAGGCATTTCGAATTTAAGGACTGTGCTGGTAATTTGTCAATGTATTATTCATTTATCCTATACATTTTCCTTAGTTAATAATACCTTATAATTCATTCAACAATTGGTTTTTTTATACTTCAAGTGTTTTCAATAACTGACTGTTTGGAAAATCTTATTTGAAATACCATAGCATAAAACGTATTGCATTAATGGCAATATAAATAGAAAACATTAGGTACAGGTAAATTTAACGCTTTATAAAAAATAACATTTCTTAATATAAGAAAGTCACACATCACACAATAGGGCCAGGACAAACCCATCCTCCAAATTCACGCTCAATTTCTCTGGCTACTGCTAAATTTAAGTAATCATTTCTTAATCCTGTAACAACTTGCACACCTATAGGCAATCCATTTTCATCCAATCCTACTGGGCAGTGAGTAGCCGGCAATCCCAGTATATTGAATATAGCTACATAGCCACAATTTTGAGGCCTCAAAGTATTGGCATAATGATAAGCGGCGGACTGTGGTAATGTTGGCATAACGAAAATGCAATCATCTTGCAACAAGTTCTGGAAGTCTTTCTCTAACCGTTTCTGGATTCGAATAAAGGGTTCTGCGTCGGCTTTGCTTTTAGGACCCAAGTATTTTTCAACCATGACGGTAGTGACTGCTGGAAGAGAATAGTCTGACCAGCCAAACAAACCGGAAACGAATTCTTTGAAAACGGAAGTTGAACTATCTTCACCAAAAACTCGGGCTTCTACTCGAGCTACATCTGCCACTGCTGCCGATACGGCATGGCCCCAGATTTGAAATCCGTATTTCAGACCTCTTATGTGAACCTTCTGAGGAGGCACATCGCATATCTTCCGGAAATGTGTTATAACCTGAAGCAAAATTTAGAAAAAAAATATTCAGTAAAATTACACAGGATAAAAGGTAATAAATAATCAATAAAATAAGTAATAAATTGTAACTTAAAAATTAAAGAAAAGATTCACGGTGTAATACATTACAGAGAGCTACGTAGATGATTCAAATATATTTATCCAAACATTGTGTATATTTTACACATTGACCTATTTGACGAAAAATTGACCTTTAATACAAAATTAGGCATTAAAATTCAATTTTATGAAAATCAAAAACTGTCATATTTATTATACAGGTAAGTTATGATACAAATATGAAAGGATTATAATTACGCCTCATTTAGACATCTGCAACATAAAGTATGGGTACTTTCTTCCTATCTCAAACATAAGAAAGTAATGATGCTGAATGCTCATATTTTAGCCTAATTCTCAAGAGACAGCGCAAGAACAGGAAATTTTAGGTAGTCAGAAATATAAGATATATGCAGCAAGTGAAAATATGAAGAAAATTATACGGAATTTAATATCATGTATCTGTGATGTATCTGTGGGGAAATGGGTTGCATGTAGGTTAACTGAGTAATCTGTTTCTAAGATTATTTAAAGGTGTCAGGATAATTAATAAAAGAAGTAGTATTCTCAATTTTAGAGCAGAACGTTGTTTATCTAATACAGAAGATCCTTTAATCCATTAAAAGCCATTGTTTCTTTTTATGGGACGCATATTTGTATGGTTATAAAATTATGAAAAATGTAAATAAGTTATTAATCTTTCCCTCGTAAGATATTGTTTTCTAAGCTAATATGTAAGTATTAGTATAAGCTAAGTATGTAGATCTCTAAGTTTAACCTGGCCACTTCTCTCATAGGCGTGAAGAATAACACAACAGGGAAAGGGTGTAAAGAGCCTTTTTTATTTATCACAACTCTTTAACAGAAAGGCATGGACTTCGTACTTACAAAAAACACCGACTACTTACGGTGAAAACTCAAAAGTAAATTTAACAATAAATTCTGAAGGCGTAATGCTTGACTTAATGCTAGACTACACAATTTAATTTACCCTAACAGGCTGACTCATTAGCCTACACCAGCGACAGACTAATTAAACTGCCAGAATGCGTAGCCCCTACTACGATTAATAGCTGGAGGACAAAATAGCAAACGTGTGCTACACTAGCGAAATCACGCTCTGCTTGACCTGCTCGTTTCACCCGTTTGTATACTCTCTTTCGCCTACTTAGTTTGCATCCTTGAGAGAAAATGCAAGGAGAAATAGAGAATTCAGAAAAGATACCAAAGTAAAATAGCTGGTTAGTGAACTAAGGGAAACCCTAGATCCTGAGCGAGTATTTGGTATGTTTTCTAACCATAAAATAAAAATAGATGTAAAGCGTTAACAAACTTTGACATCAGATGTCCTTAAACGTGCATAATTTCAGAGTGATGCAGTGTGACTCACGTGATCGCTTTTAGTATCAGGCAGCGATTATTGATTAGTGAATTATCTTGAAAAATCGTCAGTAGATATAATAATAAAGTTACGATTGTATATTAAAATACAATAGTAATTTAAAATTTAAGTATAATTACGATTAAGCTTAAATTTCTGTACCCTTCTAGTGACTGTAGAAGGTGCAAACAATCAACATTTTTCATATAAACATATATTTGAATTCCTATCCTTAACGCGTTAAAGTCAGTTTTCAAATGCTGTGGAGAACATCATTTAGTAAGTACTAAGGAAACTTCGAGTTGATTTTGAGTATTTCATTCCGCAAAATTTGGAGCCTTTTAATGTTTTCAATTAATATAATAATCCAAGGAGGAAAAGCATAGCACAAAGTATGTCTAATCACGTCAGATTGGCATGTCTTTCATGAGAAGATCCAACAGGTGCCTGAATTTGTATAATATTACAACGACAATTAAGCGTAGCTGTTAACAAAGCAGAGTTTTCAGAAATCTAAAACAGCATTTCTCGATCTATGTTCCGCAGACTACATGCAGTCTTCGAAGTCCACGCTTGTGGTCCTCCTAGTTTTCCAAAAAACACGAAAAATAAAATTCAAATAAATTACCTATGCCTCACCACACCACATCGAAATATATTCATAGTTTGTGAATTACAGATGACAATCATCTGCTATTTTTTCATACGAAACAGACATTTTATGAAATTTATTACTGGTTACCCTATCTACAAACTTTTTACTCTTATCTGTAAAAGAAGGCTTTAAAGCACCATAACTATGGTCCTTCTTAACAGCATACATCAAACACAGGACAGTTATGCAAAGAATCGGCAAGCTTATCTATTCATTAATGTGAGTAATAGCATTTATTTAATTTTTAATTACTATTATAATGTTCATACCAACTCTAACAGCCTTGAATTATTAAAAACAGATATAAATTTTCATCCGTTAACTTAATTGCCTAAAATATATATAAAGTTGTATGAATTTTAATTAATTGTATCTTAAAAATATTAAGTATACTCGTAGTTTTCTTTTTCCTTCCGATGGCGGGCCCTCAGCCGACTTTGGCTTGGCCACAACTGGTGGTCACTTTGTTATGGAGGCCTTCCTTGCCTGCTATTTTCTGATGGTGCATGGCATTTTTGCATCCTATCTGTTTGCTTTGGATTGCACCACACAGATTCATGCATATGCGGGTCATCGAGTACCATCGATCACTGCATGTTCGAATGCGAAATAACAAAAGACCTATATTTCCGGCCGTATACAGCTGGAAATGCCCAGGTATCACTGGAATAACTCTAAAAGAGTAAGCTACTACGAAACAAACTTAGAACTCTCATAGACTACCTGGAAACGAACTGCGAAAATCTAAAAGCAGTCTAGAATTTTTGTCCCATCTTAAGTGTTCTGTACCAGTAACCGGCACAGAATGCCAGGCAGATATAAAATGGTGCTCTGTATATAAATGAACCGCACATGTGTTTCAATGAGCATATAAATTTTTAATTCTATACACTGATTTGTATTCCTCAGCGTCACCTATCAGGTAGACTATACATAAGTGAATTGTAAGCAAATTATTAATAAGTGAATAACACAAGTGACTACAACGAAATGCGACACTTCTTATATCCAAGTTACCCCTGACTTCTACAGTCAAGTAGTTAGTAGCGGAATTTAGATTCTGAGTTTACAGAGAACAAACATTCTCTGTAAACTGAGAATCACAATGCATAAAAATTGATAAAATCGTCATTCAGCACAGTCAAAGTCTTGACAGGGTCTCTTTAATAACCACAGGTCACAAATACCCATCTTCTGAAGTAACTTTATAAATTCCGCTACAAATTTTAATATTCCATAGAGATTGTTGGCTGGGCTAGTGACAATAGAATGCTCCACCAATTGAGTACAAATGCTGATAGTCATATAACAGACGATACAGACACTCAGCCAGTGGTAAGTAAATAAGTATGAAGGGGATGGACAGTTACAACCATACCTTCTGCTGTATTCGAACCCGGGCCCTTTGGTATCGCAGTCGGCTTCCCTAATCTTTATCCCAGCTGAACGTCAGTATACTCGTACTAACATATATTAAAAAATTTCTTTATATGACGCACGAGTAAGATGATCCTCAGAACATTCTAATTTATAAAAGTGGTTCCCCCTTGAAAGGAATTTGAAAAAGCTGATCTAAAACATGCATGCATGTACACTAAATTCCTGCATGAAAAGTTTTACCTTTGTGTACTGTTGTATTTTTCTAATTAAATTTGTAATGACGATCAGTACTTAGTGATTGAAAAAGTATAATTTTAATTATCTCAAACAAAATTGTTTCCATTAATGTATAAAAGAAAAGCATTACCTTTCTCACCGCATTCCTCACTCCTTCCGCAGCCGGCGAAGTGATATAACTTTCTCCGTCGTCTTCCATATAAAACACCTTTAATGCCTTCAGTGTAACCTTTAAAAAAAAAGAATAAAAAAATTAGGAATGCAGTATTTCTTCTTACAATAAAAATTTTTACAAACAAATTTTTGATAGTTAAAAAAAGGAAATAAATTTAAAAAGAGAAATAGAAATGAGAACTTCTGCGAATTTATTTTCAGAAAATGGAGATGGAAAGATTTATGATTTCGTAACATTTCTGCCGTACTGCTAATTAATTATATATACTTATTTGTTGAGAAGAAATACCTATGAAATATAATAATACTGATCCTTTACAAAACGTTTAATTAACATAAGATCTATAAAGGATGTCCCAGAAGATTTTCGACAACCCTATAGGGTGTTTTGGGGCACTGTAAGGAGAAAATGCTGTTGTAATCGTTTCGTTTCATTGCTGACTTCAGAGTGAAATAGAGTTAGACCGCTGAGCATATGGAGAAAATTTACGTCTCTTTTATATTCCTTTTGTGTATAGATTGAAAAACTTTAAACTCATCGATTTCTTCTTGGAATCTTGTGAAATTACTTTCCTACGTGAAGTCCATAAACAACGCAAAGGAACTCAATGCCTAATTTAAACAGACTTCGGTAGCATTCGCATGACTTATCAAACAATTCAAAGTTCGACGATGCATCGCCGTTTGAGATCCTGTCAACAGTCGGCTAACTGAGCATTTTTATGTTATAGCTCATGCAGAGTACAGCATCCGGCATTCTAGTAGATACGTAAGATACGTAATGCCGTTACATCGTTCAATATTTTAAAAAATATGTATTGTAATAGCGTAATACATATTGCCTCATTTACGGTGCATAGTAAAGGACGTATCATAATTTATCGTTTGATATGTGTGCAACCTTCATTAACTTTCCTTCATTAACATGCACAGATGTTCTATTAGTTCGCCACTTAGGCGCGCATCTTCCATAATTATTGGCATAAATATATTTCCTGTACTCCCAGCTATTTGCCATCTTGTTTGAATTTAACCTATATGCTTATATATATAGTATACTTTCAGCTTTCGCAAGCGTTGAAGTCCGATGTAAACCTGCATGAGCCCGGGCCCTTCGGTACCAAGTCATAATTAGTAATAAATTCTGAAACTAAATAATTAAGATCACAAAACTTATTTGTGGTTATATAATGAATGTCCTTTTATTCGCTGGTTAGAAGTAATATCAAGAATTTTAATGCCATTTATCTTCTACACATAGAGCTTACCTTTATGTAGAGTGCTTCAAAAAGAGTAAATTTTACGTCCTTGAAAAATTCTTATTTGGTACACTATAAAAATGTATCATGAAAAGCCTAATAACGAAACGAAGAGAGATTATATTGCCGTATTTAATTACGTTCAACATGCTATCTATATACATAATTATTTCCCAGTGCTTTAGTGGACGAAATGCGAGAGAAGTTTCCGTGTTGCATATAACATAAACCCATAACTCTTATTTCCACATCAGTGGAAAGTAGCAAATAAGAACTTAACTTGGGACAGTGTGGTAGATTTCTGCGAATCGATCACAGACATAAACCTTGTGATCGATTTCTAACGGGAATTTTAAATGAAACCACGTGAATACTGCTACTACCACGTTGTAAAAAATTCATTTCATATATGCTGCAGTAGTATATTTCAAAAAAATGATTGACTAAATATCTAATGCAGCAGTTATTGCAATACTGGTTATCGTTTCAATATATTTCAGTTTCAGCGACAAGATGCGGCTTATAAAAAGATTGAACTAGCAAATTTTAATTTTTTCTCTGTCAGATCATATACGATTGGTTTTTACACTATATGGAATAGCTATTCTACAAGCAAATGAAAGCTATTCCATTTTGTAACACCACCTTGTATTTTTAACTCAAAATACTCCTGTTTTCCAAGATAATGTTTATTCGTTTATTGTCAATGTTTTATTTTACTGCAAAATAAAAAATTTTGTTTCAGAGCCTGCATGCTTTGTTTCGTTCCTTTAAATATAGATTGACAAAATTAAAACGGAAATAATATTTAAAAGAAAATGAAAGCTTTCAGATTTTATATTATGCCCAAACCAGCGTCTTTTTTTTATTTTATTTTATTTTTTTTTTCCATTTATACACACATACACTTTTCGAGAGCATTGGGCTAACGCCACATTGTGCTAAAAATTTTGATGACTTTATGTATTTATGTACCGTTTTTTTTTTTTTTCTTTCAGAATGAGATAAACATACATACATTCATGTAGATTCTTCATTATATAGTTTCTTTAAATAAAATACAGGACGATAATATTTGGTGGCAACAATTTGAAAGCGAATCTGACGTTTAAAGTGATTCGACGCAAAAAGTCGTTTCGAGACCAATAGACCTCTTGGGCTCACGCCCATTTGGGTTAATAATTGCCAGTATTTTGTGATTTTATATTCTCATTAACACAAGTAAAACTTATGAACATCTTTTTTCTTCTTTTAATGCTAATTATAAACATTAAAGATAAATACTAAATTAAAGCAAACTATCTTATGTCTTTTTTTTTTTTTTTTTTTTCAATATCTCTTCCTTTTGCTTTGTTTTGGATTAACCAGTTGAAGTTAGGACGTTTTACGACCTTAACTTCATAGGCTTTGTAAATAATTATCTCCTTTTCCCTTGAGTGATCTTGCAGTGTAAGTAATTAGCATATCGAGCTAGAAGGAGGAAGATCTGGAGTTTGAATACTGGCCAGAGCTCACTAAATGTTTTCATGTTTTCTATTCAGAAAAGCCTAATATATTGTTTTTTATATAAATCGGGATTCAAATCACTATCTATTACTGCTTACGTTCGACGTGTTATTTCTCTTTTTCTGGGGTAAATTAAAGAAATTTTAATTCATATGAGCTTAAGATGAGAAATTTTAAGTCATATATATAAAAATTCTTAATTTCTCTGCCTTAATTTTTCTATTTTTCTTGTTATATGGGTAATGTAATATAATCTACTTGTATAAATAATGCAATGTGTAAAAATAAAAAATAGGAAATGTTTTATTTTTTGAAATTAAATGCTTTATGAGAAAGAACATAAGAGTAAAGAGGAGGACTCACGAAAGATGATTCAAATCTAGAAGGTTTAAAATGCTAAATAATTGAAATTAAGTATCACTTCTCTGTTCACATAGTTGTTTGCAATACAATTCCCTGCATAATCTGAAATAAAATTGTATACAAGTCTCTTCTTCGTGAGTTTCTTTTCATATTTATTTACTCTTATTAATTTCCCTTCTACATTATTATCGCTATTACTTGTTCTTTAAAACAAATTTGGTGTTTAGGATCCCATGTGAGCCTGCGCGCCTGCAAATTTTTAAAATGATAATAGCTGTAAAGGTTAACTTTTAACTTCAGTCAATCACTTTTAATCTCTATCAAGTTAAATTTTCCTTTCTTTCATATGTTATTCAAAATTATTTAAAAATAATTTTAATCTTTCAAATTTGGGTAAAAATTATATACACTCTTTTGAAAACAAAATCGAAGCACCATGAAGGAAGTGGTTGTTTTTGATGAAATTGAATATGTGTATAGCTCATATACAGATAATAAAATGATTAAAAAGTCAAGTACCTGTTCACGGTCATAGTACCAGTTCACGGCTTATAATGAACCAATGAATGTTCAGATTAGTAGTTAGTTGAACCGCCCCTGGCGGCAATGCATGCTTGAATTCGTCGAGGCAAGGAGTGGTAGAGGCTCCTAATGTTATCCTGCGACACATTCTGTCAGGCATTTATCAGTTGTCACTCCAGATCTGCAATATTTTGTGGTGCCCGAATCTGCGGCCTTCTATGTTCCAGGCATTCTCGATTGGTGAAAGGTCTGGTGACCTTGCTCGCCAAGGAAGAGTATCAACCGCACGGAGACAATCCAGAGATATGCGAGCGGTATGTGGCCTGGCATTATCTTGTTGGAAAATGGCCCCAGGATGATGTGGCATTAAATAGTAATGCAACCGGCCACAGGATGGTATCAACATATCGTTGGGCTGTTAAAGATGTACGGAGGATGACTAAAGATGACCTGCTATCATAAGAAATAGCGCCCCACATCACATATCACACACCATCACACCAGGGTTTATGGCTGTATGTCTTACAAAGGCTGATTGGACCGCTGGCCCCGTCCTCTCCAGAAACGAACACGGTGGTCATCTGCGTCAAGAGTGAAGCGGTATTCATCGCTGAACATTATACGATGCCAGTCTGATGGCAGCCATGATGATCGGTTGCGACACCTCTCCAGACGACTCCGCCGATGTTGTGGGGACAAAGGCAAACGTCTTAAAGGCCTCTATGTGTGTACAGATTCTAAGAAACTATATAAATGGTTAAGTTTTTCCTTTATTTTAAAATGGTCCTGAAGCACTGCATGGTATTGTCACCAAAGAGATCTACGCCATCTTTTCAGCTTGTTTAGGATATCACGTTTGATTGTAATCTGAAGCTGTTCCCTTTCCTCAGAAGATCCTTGTTAGTTTCAGTGGGTACGGATATTTCGTACTCTTCTTCTCCTTATCCGAAGAAACGTCTCTGAACTTTAAACTTTTCACCGCTAATATATAGAATTAAAAAATATTCTTACTAACAAACTCATCAGCTTATTATCTTCGTTTGTGTACAGTTATGTTTCCTGCATTGAAGTATCGAGCCATATTTACCTACAGTTCCAAATGTGGAACCTAGTTGTTTATACGCCGCCTAGACAGTATAGTGGTTAGGGGAGCCGACTGCGATACCTAAGGACCCGTGTTTGAATCCTGGAAAAGGCATGGTTGTATTTCTCCTCCCCCTCATAGGAGGCAAAAGTGGCCCACCTAGTAGATGCCTCCAGAATAAAGTGTCCATCGCTTCTGGCATTAGTTGTGGCCAATGTCTGTAGACGATCTGGGCCCGCCACTGGGGGTAGGAAGTTCTTTATTCAAGACAGTTTTAGGTTCGTGCACGGGTTCATTACATGAGGCATAAATGTAATTTAGTAGGTTAATAGATTTTATAACCTCATCTCTAATATCACCAATTTAATATGAAATTCACTTTTATGTTGCCTAGATTGTGCATGAATTAATTTGTTTGGACAAAATGGGCAGAAAGGGAACACGCGGTGAAGAGGTGATTGTATTAAAAGTTATGAAATCTAAATTAAAGGGAATATGCATTTTTTTAAAACGTTTGCTATTTATCACAATCATGCATGTTCTCTTTCCTATCGTTTTATCAACGATCTAGTCAACTGTATATTAATATATAAATATCGTCATTATTTCTACCACTATCCTGTGTCTGCGCAGATACAAAACGAATGGTTCATTGCCAGACTACATTGGGCAATTCCGACTGCTGGTAATTGAAGAGAATAAAATGTGGTGACTAAATTCGACCCTTGCGAGTTATAATGAATCAAATAATAATAAACGAAAAATTATATTATTACAAAGAGGGTATAAAATTAGCAAATAATAAATCATGACATTATTTTCAAATTCTTAATTTTATTTTGTAAATATTATGTTAATTTTATTAACAGTTAAATTTTAAGTTAAAGTTCCTTTCCTGTCAAATTCTTAACTTCAACTCTTCCGGCCAGAACGTAGTTTTGGAATTTGCTGAATATTTAATGAGAAGGAGCGGTATTTAAACCAAAGTTACTTACTGAGACAGAGAGAGAAACAGAGTTTCTGAACTAGGCGCGTCTGCCTTTTTGGCCGCTCTCTCTCTCAAAGCTGTTTTACGCTCGGCCGTACTCAGGCCCTTGCTAAGCTTCGTAGTAAAATAAGTTAAGCGGCCAACTCTCATTGAACCTTGATAGCTTTGGATATACTTAGTTAGTTAATCTTAGTTTTAGTTTAATCCTTAGTCTTTTAAGTTCAAGTCCAAAGTGCGGACATTATTTGTACACTCCCAGGCAGAGTTTTGTTAAATCTTATCGAAACAATAAAGGGTTATTTACCCTTCTCTCTTGTTGTTTCCTGTCTTCGAACTCTAGCGATTATTCGCTTATCAGTTCCTAGGCTCCTCACTTCCAACATTAACTTAGGGTTTCAAGTGAGGGACCTTACAATTTCATTGATTAATGTGAGAAAAATGAGTTATAAGAAATGTTCAGATGCAATATTAACTGCAAGATTTTCCAAACAACGCTTCCTCTTTCTTTCACAATGATAAAAGTTATTAATCTGGAAGATTTTATATGTTTATTTGAAGGTAAGAAATATGATGGTGACCTCTAAAACTAGATACAAACAAAATTACAAAATAGTAATATTTACCTTTCTTTCTAGCTGCAGAAATGTAGCATTGGGACCGGCCATAATACGGAGCATAACTTTCAGATCAGTTGCATACCTGCACATTGGTCCAGTACCTATGTATTGTTGTAAAACAGGTTCAGTAGGTGGATAATGGCCCCGATTCGGTACAATACCTAGGAAATGAAAACACATTCGACATTTATATCCTTTTATTTTTATTGCGATATTTCTATATTTGTTAGTGTAGTCGTAAATGGGTATTGAATCATTATTTAAGGATTTAAAATATAAACTGAATATCAGATATTTGCGGGTGTAGGAAATGAAAATAATGGCCTAATTAATGGAGTTTTTTTAAAATTTATATCATTCTTTGAAATTTTTATTTTGTGTGCTTGAAAGCTATTTAACGTACAATTTTGTTCTGAAATGTGTTGCGAGCATGCTTTATTATGTTTAAAATTTTAAAAGTAAATATTTTCTAAATACGAAAAAATGTAGGTGAATTATTTATATTTTTTCTTATACACTAAATAAATGCTCATGAAATTCGTTCTTCACATTTTTGAAATTCCCAATAATTGAGGCTGTAAAGCCCTGAACTCTAAAGGGCTGTTCACTCTGGGGTTTATCTGAGCTAACGGAGTCAGTTCCATATGTCGACTATCTCCGCTATGCCTGCACTTCAAATTTTTCAACTTAGAGCCTACGGTAGAAAACTGGTTTTGGAGATGGGTCGACTACGTCAGCTGTGTCCATTAGCTCAGATAACCCCAGTGGGAACGGCCCTGTAGAGACATTAGGTATTTTTGGAAGCAGGAAAGATGAAACGAGTAATCACCTTCGCCGGGAATCGAACCACAGACCTCTGGAATACTGGCCCAGCGTGGCGTGCAGAACCACTAAACCACGAAGGCAAACTAGGAAGGCGGAAGAAATACCTTATACACTTCCCGATAGCGCATAAGATTATGAAGATTATTAACAACAATAAAGAAGCCATTGGCATTTGTGTGATTCGTGCATTTGTATAGTTGTGTGGTGATTTTTGTACTGGCGTAGCCCGTATATGGTCATAGGGCAAACTTTGTTTTGCAAGATGGACCGGGCTACGCCCTAACGAAACAAAACAAAACACTCCTGCTTTTAAAGGGCGACTGGGGTTTATAGAACCCAATCACAAAAATCCTGGGTGAGGAGAATCATCATCCAACACCTTTTTAGTTCGGGCGCCACTGTAGAGACATTAGGTATTTTTGAAACAGACAAGATGAAAAGGAGCAATCGCCTTCGCCGGGAATCGAATCACGGACCTCTGGAATACTAGCCCAGCGTGCAGAACCACTACACCATGAAGGCACTCTAGGAAGGCAAAAGAAACACCTTATAAGCTAGTCGACACATGGAACTGACTCCGTTAGCTCAGTTAAATTCCATTGTGAATGGCTCTTAATAGTTAATACAGTGTTTGATTCTATAAAGCTAGCAGTATGTGTCTTTTATGGCTTTTATCATGTGCACTGTGAATGCGAAGTAATTTCCCTTAGAAAACTCGCTGTGAACGCAAACAAGTCTTGAATGGTTTATCATAATAAATAACATAGTGTCTTACTATAAATAAAAAACCGTGAACAGTTCAGATTTTGAGGAACTTAATAATAGCAGAAGAATTTTGGCATAAAAGGAAATTTGTGCTCACTCAAGTTTATTAGTATTTTTTCTTGATATTTGTTTTTAAATAAAGTTAAATATATTAAATTTGTTGTTTTTCCAGACATTTAATTTTTAAGAATGAAATAATGTCCATAACATGCTCTAATACACGTACGGACAAGTACTAATACACGTTTTTTGGAGAAAATAAACATAATTAAGATAAAATGCAACTTTTTGCATAATTTTTTATATAATTATGATAAAACGCAGCTTTATATTATTCAGAAAGGCAAATAAAGGAAATAATGTAGTTAGACAATTAACATAACTGTTCAAACATACCAATATTTCCGATAACATGCTTGGATTGTATAGTTATTCCTTTCATGCTTTACTGTGGAGTAATGACAATCATATCAATCTGATAATTCGACGATGTAGATTAGAGCTTAGTCTATTTTTTTCCTAACATATTTAAGTTTACATTCACAATTTAAATTTTACTTAGTAATACAGCTATAGAAAATTTTTTTGATGTGTTGAATTAAAATTTCATCATTATTAATGAAGATAAAAATTAAAAATACCCTTATTTACTGCTATATGAAATAATAAATAATAATAAAATCTAATTTTTTTATCTTGGTTATTTCTGTAACCATGATTTTCAGAAAAATTTTCTAAGTTCTACTGAGATAAATTCTAGCAAAGAAGAAAGGATAATTCCCTCTTTTCCTTAAACACAAAATAAAATTTCATTGTGCGTATTTTAAGTTATTAATGTGTTTTTCTGAATTTCGATTCTTATTGTATTTCTTTTGATTTTAAAATACACAAATACACAAGTAAGCATACCATAAAGTTAAGAATCGTAAATGGAATAGGAGGAAAGGGCTTGTCATAAAGATAAATGTTTTACTTGGTATGATAATAGATTCGATGGGAATTAAGCGATTGCTAGCAAGACTACAATTTCGAACATTCTACCCACAGAATGTTATAGCCAAAAACTGACAAGACGATATCTGAATGGGAATTTATTTATCAAATTTTGAAGTAAGCATTTATGAAAGAATTATATATATTGGAACCTCAGCTCAACATTATGCGTCTCATTCGACATCAGGTGTAAATCAAGAACTTGTTAATTTTATTTTGCAACTGTTAAAAGTAATTTTGCGATTTGAGTTGTTTTGTTTTGCCAACTAAGCGTTTATGATAGCAGATATCGTCTTTCCTTCATTTCTAGGATGTTTTGTTTACGTTAAAAATATTTATATTTCATCTGCTCTGTGATCGCAATAAATAATAACAAAATTTTAATTTTTACCTTGGCCATTTCTATAGGCATGAATTTCAGAGAAAAATTCATGTTCTGCTGTGATATCTTCAAAACAGGAACGCCTTAATTTTATTTTGAAATGCAACTTCTCAAAGTAATTTAGTAACTTTTTGATTCATGTTGCTTTGTTTTGCTAACTATGGGTAAGCATTTATAATAGAAGATACTTTGTTTTATCTTTTTGTGGCGTGTTTTGTTTTCAAATTAATTAAGAGGAAATGAACTGGAGATAGATCACTAAGTAAGTATTTCTACTACTGGTGTTTCATCATAAAGTGAGAAACTGAAACGCCCTAGAATTTCGTCGTTAAATTGCACTCATTTTGCAAACGATGTACAATAAAATTTATTTAAACTTTTTCTTTAAGCTGAATTTCTTTCTTTTCTTTAACAAGAATAATCGCTAATTATCTTGAATGTCACTTAAATAAATCTTTTCTTTATATTTCTTCTTCAGTAACTGATATGAGATATTGTTCTTAATACATGGCTTAATTTTCTCAAAATGCACTTTATAACAGAAAAAGAGAAGCACCAAGAAACCGATATTCGAATCGGACGAAAATCGGTAGATATGATGTACATATATCGAAACCGAAGCGCTAACAGTATCATAGAAATTGAATGTTTTATTCAAGAAATGCGGCTAAAAAGAGAAAAAAATAATAATGCGTTGGCCCTCATGCAAGTTGTTGTCCGACTGGGCATTGATTCATGATGTTGTCGCATGTCCTCTTTCGAGATTGCTTGCCGTACATATTCTAGCTGGCAAGTTAGAATGGCTGGATTGAAGGATGGTCGGAGACGCCTGCTCATCAGAGCTCAAACGTGCTTTGTCAACGAGAGATATAGCGATCTCGCCGGCTAGGGAAACATAAGAGAACGAAAATAAGTAGTTGAAAGGCATTTCGTGTGGTTGGGCACTATCTTGTTGAAATGTAATTTTAGGGGTCCATAAAAGGGAAGGCAACACTATGGAGGGTGAAAATCTAGTCAACATGGTGAGAATCCAAAATGTTACAATAGGTAAACTCTAGATCTTTTGGAAAGCATCGGATGTTCATCTCCTCAACCTTTCTTTGTAAAATCTTGCTTGCAATTTGTTTTCTTTACTTTTTTTAGTGTTAATTAATATGGGAAGGCATTACTAGTTGACCCACGGTATATCCCTTCTGTTCCTTCATACTTTTACCTGTACCAGTACCTGGCATGCTGTAGGGTGTCAGGGATGACAACTAAAGAAGGCTGGCCATCAAATGAAATGGCACCCATGCCACAACGCCTGGTTGTCGGGCTCTGTGATGGGCGAGAGTTAAGTGAGTATCCCACCGCTGTTCTGGACGTCTTCAGACACGTCTTTGCCGGCCATCGGGGCTCAGTTCGAAGCGGACTCGTCGTTGACAACAATTATTTTCTAGTGTATGAGATCCCAGGTCGAATGCACTCGGCACCACTGCAAACGTGCTTGGCGGTGCGCAAGGGTGAGAAGCAATCGGCGCAATAACCTCCTTAATCTCATCCCCCGTTTACTGAGTCTGCTTTCAATAGAATTTGCAGTCACTAGTGTCCCGATAACACGTCGGATCGTTGATAAGTTCATATCAGGGGCTATGAATGCTAATGCAACGATCACTCTGTCCTCGCGTTCTGTCGTCACTTTCATTCGACCACTACTTTCTTAACCGTCTGTACGGCCATGGTTCCCCATTCCTGCTAACACTGACGAATGGTAGTATCGCTCCTACCCAAATGTTTAGCGGTCCTACGATTTGATCAACCTGCTTGCTTTAACTTAGTTGCACGTCCTCTCTCAGCTGGTGCTTATACTGTCCGCAAAGCCATCTGAGGCACTGGTACACTCCACATGGGTAGACGGAACCACATTTTCATGGAAGTTATACATTAACATTGGGATGTTGTCTGTTTTATACACCATCCGTACACCCCGTTGAAATGCGCTGCAGCTCCAGTTTTTCAATTGTTGGTCTAAAATCGTTAATCACTTGCATAGTCTATTGTAAGGTTTGGGAATATGCAATTTCGTCCCATTCAAAAACTCCTTCTTGTCTTGATTTTCTGGTGAGACCTTTTTATATTATAGATAGTACCTTCTGTCAAATTCTTAAATAAGAAAAAAATTCTATACTTTATTAAATATTTAGTCACTTTAAATAAATAAAATCTTACTTATTTAAAAATCTTAGATCGTGACGGTAACATATCTACGCAATAGTGTGGATAAATGCCATTTTTAAAGTAGCAGTGCTATAGACGATTACCCTCACTGCGACTATATATTAGAACATAAGAGAATGAAGATTATTTGATAATTGTTTTGAATTCTAATGACAAAAAAAGACACTGACATTTATATGAATTTAGTGTTCGTAATTTGATGAGATAGAATTTATGGAAAAAGATTAATTTTGTCTCTCAGAATAAAAAATAAAAAAAATAAAACAAAAAAGAAGAAGAAGAAAAATTGTTTTACCATTTCATAGAAAAGTAGCCAACAATGAAGGTTACAACAAGATTAATGATCGAATGCAGTTCTATTAAAAATGATTCAGTAGGACTTAATAAAATGAAGGTAAACTACTTAAAATCGCTGCACGATTAACCCTTTGTTGCATATAAATAATCTAGAGAAGTTAAACGAAAATGTTTGTATTTTTCTACTTAAAATAACCTTAGTAATAATAAAAAAAAATTAATTTTATTCAAATTTCGTTTTAAATAATTGCTACAGTTTGTTTACTACAGTGGACAGCATGCATATACGTACATGATTACAAATCTCTTCCCAACGATTTACGGTCATTGCATTTGAAATCATTTCCTGCTTTTTTTGCAGTGATCATTACCATCTTCTAAATGGTAAATCTACTACAGACATGTACATACAGATCCCCCAAAATAGCTCCATTTCGTCGATTGTGATTGAATTCATTTTGCTACGATTTTGTAACTTGTACCTATTGGATTCAAATATTCTAGAAATTCCTTGCCAAACATAAACATTTCCAGTGGTGTTTTGGCTTGATAAGCAGCACATTTGGGTTTCAATTCACTCTTTTCGGTAGTTCTTTATCTACCCACTCCACAATTTTCTCAAACTGACATTTAAAATAAAATGTCTAAAATTACTAATTATGAATAAAAAATGGCTGTATAAGAAAATGTAAGCAATATTATATAATGTTTACTATGAGAAATTATACTAACTTGGAAACAGAAGTAGCAGCCATTTTCCAAATAGCAATGCTTTACTTGTGATGCTATACAGCCATCTATGATCGACAGTTGAAAGTTCTAAATAATATAGAATGAATAAACACAGGAGGAATGAATCCGTTAAGGCATTTACAGAAGAATAAACAAATTTAAACTTTTGTCTACTAGAGCGGACATGATGCAACAAAAGGTTAAGATATTCCAACAACATTAGTAGTTATTAAGAAGCCTATAGTATTTGATAAAAATGATCAAGCACTTTTACTTTTCGAAAAAAACGTCGAAATTTTGATGCACAGAACGAAATTATAAAAATGGATTTTCTGGAAGTATAGATTTATTTGATCTCTTCGCTGTGAATCTTTTTTTTATAAAATAGAATATTGACCTTAAAATTTAACATCATATCTTTTAGAGCAAGAAAATCATGTCACAAACATATTCTCATTTAAGAGACTGTAAGTTACAAGTGGACGCTGCAAACAAAATTCATCTGAAATAAATATATAAGTTTATAGCATTATTTTGCTTCAAAACAACAACTCACATCTTAAAAAGTTAATTCCTTAAATTCTAAGAGTTTTCTGATAACTGTGTTACTTTAAGGTCTTATTACCATGGCTGTTTCTAGGAAGCATACATAACTAGAAATTCGTAAATTATTTTTTAATCTGCTGCTAGAAAATATTAAAATTTAGTTATACATTTATTAGAAATATTTAATTAAAATGTTGCTTGAATAGTTAATTTATAGCAACTGAATCTTTTTGGTATAATAAAAGGCCATTCATGGTATGAGAGAATTCAAACTGCAAAACTTGTGAGATCATCAAAGTTAGCTTTGTTCAACTGACCTGTGGAATGCAACGCAATATTATCAAAAATATTTAAGTAACTAAAAAGTGTGTGCTCCTTAAACTTGCAGCAGAAACTAATGGAACATATGTTAGTCTAGTAATTACTAAAATAATAAGCCGATATGATGGACATATTTACAAACTTGCAAAGAAAAAATATTCAATACCAATTAAAAACCAGAAGACATCAGCTCTCTTTCTCAAAACTTATCAAAAATTATGTATTTTGTATAATGTTATAAGGTATTTCTACCACCTTCTTAGCATGCCTTCGTGGTGTAGTGGTTCTGCACGCTGGGCCTGTATTCCAGAGGTCGTGGTTCGATTTCCGGCGAAGGCGTTTACTAATTTTTCATTTCTCCTGCTTCCGAAAATTACCTAATGACTCTACAATGGCGCCCGAACTAAAAGGGGGTTGGATGAGGTTTTTCCACACCCAGGATTTGGCGACTGGGTCTCCTGAAAACTCCAGTCTCCCTTTAAAAATGGGAGTATATAAGATATTTCTCCCACTTTCCTAGCGTACCTTCGTGGTGTAGTGGTTCTGCACGCTAGGCCGGTATTCCAGAGGTCTGTGGTTCGATTCCCGCGAAGGCGTTTGCTAATTTTTCATCTCTCTTGCTTCTAAAAAATCCTAAAGTCTCTACAATGTTATATTTGAAAATTAAGAAAGCTAAATTAACATTTTTATTAGAATGGTAAATCTTTAAGATAGAGAAGACCTAAAGAATAACTTACGTAGTTTAATAGCGATAACATGTAAAGCTTACATAGTTTAATAGAAAAATACAGTATAAAAAATTAGGAATGCATGTCCCCAAATGAAATCGTAAGCTGAAGTTTGTTAATGATGTAATTAATCATTAAAAATACACTGATATTCTAATTCGAAAATGATCTTGCACTAGTGCAAGATCTTAACCTGCAAAATAATTCTAAATTCTAGCAAGACAATGGCCGCAAATATTCTGCTATGAATGTGCGATTCTGGTTGTTAGTTAATTGCCTTGAAATGGTAGAAGCAGTTCGACAGGTTTAAAACCTACTTTTAAACCTGTCGACAGCCAAGCAATAGTATATAACATCCCAGGATAAAGTATTTCTTTAAAATAAAAATTTTAATTAGCAATGCAAGTTTCTGGAGATATTAGGATTTTCGGAGCAGGAAACAAGAATAAAGTATACTCTCTTCAAGTTTCTTCTAGTGCTAACCGAATATGTTATCGGTACACCAAAAGAGCATGCATAGGGGCGGTATGCATAGAGCATGCATAGGAGCATGCATAGGGGCGGTAAGAGCATGCATAGGTAACTCCTTATACCTCCCAATTGAATAACTCCTTAAACCCCTCTCATAAAAGGTAACGTGGAAAGCAGAACGAGACCTAGTCGGCTAGATCCAGATAATCCAGCAATTTTAGTCCAGCTGTAGAGCTATAGTGTTCAAAGAAGAAGACTTATGTCTTCTTCAAAAAATCAGCTATGCACTCATTGGGATTCAAAACACACATCTTCGATTGCTCAATTTGGCGTACTACCACTTAGCACCACTAAAGCTCAAGGTAAGAATACGAAATTTTTTGTATAGCAATATAGTTGAATCCAAGCCAAAAAATTTAATCACCTTTTGAAAGCTAATTCTAATTCCAAAAACTGTTAGAAAATTTTTCAAAAGTATATTTTGTGAATTCACTTCATAGTACTCTAGACGTCTGACAATTTTTGTGACAAGATTTTTCCGTGAAAAACAATTAATTGTCGAGTCCTCTATTTTACTCTAGAAACTATTATATAGACATTAGGTATTTTTTGAAAGCAGGAGAGATGAAAAATGAGCAATGCCCTCGTCGGAACTCGAACCATGGGCCTCCCAAACACGCGCCGAGTGTGCTGACCACTACACCACGAAGTCATGCTAAGAAAGTCGGGAGAACTGCCTTATATACCCCCCTTTGAAAGGGTGATTGGGGATTAGGTGACCCAGTCGCCAAATCCTCGGGGTGGAGAATCATCATCCACCACCTTTATTAGTTCGGGGGCCACTGTAGGATCATTAGGATTTTTTGAAAGCAGGGAAGATGAAAAATGAGCAATGCCCTCGTCGGGACTCGAACCACTGACCTCTCGAATACGTGCGGAGTGTGCTAACCACTACACCACGGAAGCATGCTGAGAAGGCGGGAGAAATAACTCATCATATATTTGGTAGATATGACAAATGTCTACTTCAAAGAGGGGAGAAATGCGTTTGATTTTACTAAAATTCATTTAAAATTTTTGACAATATTTACTAAATTCAAAAGTATCCAATCATTTTTATGAGACATTATAAACTGAATTCCAAATTCTGGAAGAAAAGGTTACAAAGCTTCTTTCTGAGGAAAAAGAAAAATTGTCAAAACAGCTTAAAGTCTCAAAATTTTGCAGTTTGTTCTTAAATAATATAATGTAGTTTGTTTCAAATGCTGAGATTTAAATTTTACGTTTTTGTTTAATTTTTTAAGAAAATTTATCATTAAAATTTTATCCGTTAAAAATGTTTTTCCAGTTCTGTGTTTTTAATAGCCAGTAAATAGATACAAAATGTTATTTTATTTTCGAGTTAATATGAAAAACTAACATATTTTTATTTTATTTTCGAGTTAATATTTTTATTTAATTTGTTAAGTTCATTAGATTGTACTAAAAAAATAACAAGAAATAAAGGAATTAATTGTTACCTCTGGAAGGTTTGTGGCCGAAAACTCCATTAAAAAATGATGGAATTCTGATGCTGCCGCCAATGTCATTCCCAACACCTACGACAGATCCAGCAGAAGCGAGCAGAGCTCCTTCTCCTCCTACAAATGCAAAAACAATCTGGCAGAAAATATAATTAATGCGTCAGTGAAGTGAATATATATATTTTTTAATCTGATACCTTTGGAATATTCATCAGACACTGTATTTATCGATAAAATTAAGGGAAGGAAAAAAAAGAGAAAGTCTTAGAACATTTTATTCGCGTTACAATGAATTAAATCCTCTCTCATCTGCTTTTACATATTTTTAATCCTCATAGCGTTGAATTATTGGGATTTCATAATGAAATATTAATATACATTAAAATTAAACAGAAGTAAATTATTAGAGAAACATTCATATTGCATTTAAGAACATTTCACAATGAACATTTACTTTTAACACTCTAAATTAGGCTTTACTCTCTGAAAATAAATCAATTATTAGCATTTGTAATCGTAGATAGACACTGAAGGAGGTAATATGTTGTATAGGCTTCTAATTATTAATTAATATTATACGCGCTGATGATTATGTATCCTCCTGTGTATATTGTCACCGAAAGCGTTTCTGCTAAACTAAAACTAACGTTAATTGACATTATTATTTTATAATTTCACTTTTTCAACTTTTTCTAAAGTAGATTAAAAATTGAATAACGTTTTCACTCTGTTTATTTAAGAGAAATTATATTTAGAAACTACAAACACTTTTTAAAACATGCAAATATGCGGTAACTTTTAAAAGCTAAAAAAAAAAAAAAAAAAACATGCTCAAATGCTGTAAACGCGAAAAATAGATTCAATATCGCTTATCATATTTCGAGAAATTTAGAGATTTGTTTTTGTAGATTTACATACTGTTTCGTACATGGTAAAATTAGGCATTAAAATTATTTTGGATATTCATTACAAAAAAATTTTAATGAAATAAATAAATTTACAACAAATTTAAAATTAAGATACTTGGGATTTATTATATGATCTAATCAAGTTAAAAGAACACCGAAGTAAAATATTGATTTCATAACTAGATGATACAATATATGCAAGATATTACAATAAAAGATACATTGATAAAATTTTCATACCACTACTACCACCAGGTGTACGCTTTTGATTATAAGGATTATTCGTCCTTCCATAGACGTTGTTGTAAGCTTCCATCCAGAAACATTGCTCGCTTGTATTTGTCCCAGCAATAGGTATTGCTCCGGCTTTACGAAGTAAAGCTATAGCGTCGGCGTCCTCCTTTGCTCTGGTACCTCGCCGACTCACAACCCCTGATGTGAACAGCATACCTGCAAACCATTACAGCATTTTCATTGTGTTTTGCGTGCTAAAAAACAACAACTAGCTGCCATCATACCCTGTTGGGGCTCAGGGGTTATTTTCAAGATATTTATTAGTCAGTTAAACATTGTAAAATCTGGATTTCCGCATCCATGGATAAGAACTACGATTGTACCAAAGAATTTGGTATGTAAAAAATCTTGATACACATTTTTTTTTCTTTTCTTTTCTTTTTTTTTTTTTTTGGTTTGCGCAAAGAACTTAGCAAAATTCTTAATTCACGGTAACCTGTATTCTTTTCTCTTTCACTGTACACGAGCGGAAAAACAATGCATTTTCCTTTTTTTGAAATAATTTTAACGAAGTGCGCAAACCACATTTGGCTTTATTATCGCTTATAACGAATATGCCAAATTTCAAAATCCATCAATATATAAGTTCACCTACATCTTGGAAAATTTTAAATAAAGAACTCTAATTTTTGCAGGTATACCTAGAAATACATCTTACTTTAAGGTAATGGTAAAAATGTTATAGGTTATAATTTTAAAATGTTTTTGAAAAATTCATCAAATTTACTAAAAAATACAATTTAAAAAATAAATCAGAAAATATCAGAAAATATATTTGGATTGAACTTAAATTTCAAATTGTGAAAGAAAGAATCATGTAAGTTTAATAAGAAAAGAGATATTGATAAATATATCCCAAATTCAACTAATATTGAGGAGCTAAAACTTTGCGAGCCAGTTTTTTAAAAACTCCTCGTGCGATTTTCACAAAACTTGGTCCTTTGACATAATCTGAGTGATAGAATTGAAATATAGAGAAAGATTTATACGTCATTTCAAAAAACATCCTATTTTGTGTCAGAATACCTATATATTAGAACAATGCTATATATAAATGTAATATATATCCCAAGTCACACTTTCGAGACATCAAAAACGCAAATTGAATTTCGTCAATCGGCCCAGTAGAACGGGAGATATAGAACTGTCCCATTTTTTGTGTACAGAGTCTACATCTCTTTCTCTGTTACAAATGCATATTCATACCAAATTTCATTAAAATCTGTCCATTAGTTTTTCAAAAAATCGATATAATGGGCAAATCTCTTAATTTTGCACATGAGTATATATACATGCTTACGTGCTCTGCCATCCGTTATGCATTTTACACATTCTTCTCATTTTTTGGAGATGAAATATATTGGAACATCCATCCTGCCAGAATCGGTTGTGTGAAACATTTGCGCTTCGGAATGATTTTTCTAATAAAACACGAATTTTGATTTTTAGAAAATTCAATAAAAGCTTCATTTACATAACAATGAGTCCAGATTTGTTTAGGACCAAGTGACATTTTCTCATCTATAATATTAAATACGACAGGTGCTTGGTTTTTCAAGAAAAATTTAAGAAGATATTTTGGGTAGGTCAAATTGTCGGCAAGGTTCCTTTTAGAATTCTCAAGATAATAAAAGCGCAAAGAGTTTCTGAGTCATTATATTCAGAACGAATCATCCAACCTACTCATGTTTGAAGATTACAAATCAAAAGTAGAAAAAAAAATCGCTCTGAAATTTCTGCATTAAATATTCTTCCATTTTGCTAAAAAGTTACACAAATTTTTTACCTAACATAAAACCATAACAGTAACCATATTAAACTTTTCCTTTCCATGATGGAGGAAACATACATGTTTTTTACAAAATCCCTTCTGAGCGCAAATACGATAATATATTAGTTCAGAATATTAACAGGTGTGACGAGTGTAGATTCATTTAGCTCAATTTATTGTTTTCAGAAAATCCTTTCGGGACGTCTGCATTTGCTTTTAGCCAAATAGTGGTATATACTTTTTAATTTTTTTATCACTCCTAATTTGCTAAATATATCAAATTTCATTAAAAAGCGGTAGGTTCCCCTTGCCTAAAAAACAAATAAACAAATAAAAATAAACAAATGCTTACGGGGATATGTTATAATAGGAAACATATTCTAGGAAATATCCTAGGAAAATATATTGTAATGTCTAGTCCCTTGAATTTCATCAAATATGTAGTCCTGGGTAAGTTAAATTAAAACTTGTTTATTTACTAGCTTTTATTATTATTATTATTATATTTTGATGATTGTATATAGTTTATTTTAGGTTTACATGCATAATTAGTACAGGGGAAGTTTTCAATAGGCAAGAGTTTCTAAATTACGTTTGTTTTTCTAAAAAAAATGGTTTTCTATTCTTAATTGACCTTTATTAATATTTTACTTGCTAAATTTCTCAAAATTTCTGCTAGTTTAAATTTCTAACATTTGTTTTTACTTTTGGTTTTGAATTTTACTTTTACCCTTGCCTGTATGGATGACGAAATACGAATTGAGTAATTAAAGAGTTAGGTTTGGAGGCAACTTCCCCTTGAATAAGTATGCCTCCTGCCTGCTCAACAATTATTCACTTATGGAATTTAATTTGGTCTTAGAAATTCCTTAAAAAAATTTTTAGATTAATTTTTGGAATATTATATATTTTTTAATGGTTTTACATACGTGCACTCAATTTACATTACTAAGAAGGCTGGAGAATACTCTATAAGGTATGCTCTTAAAATTTAAATAATATCGTAAATTAGTTTTCAGCAATAATTAATTTATTTTTTTTTTGCAATTAAAATTTCTTATTTAAATTTTAAATTTATATTAGCTTTATACGAATAGAGAATACTTGTTAAGTTATATATATATATAATATATATATATATATATAACTTAATATTCTCTAAAAATGTCTCTAAAACCTTTAAAGTCCATATATATATATAATGTATATATAAAAATAAATCAAATAAACAAATAACACAGTGGACTTTAAAGGTTTTAGAGACATTAGATATTTTTTTAAAGCAGGAGAGATGAAAAATGAGCAATGCCTTCGCTGGTACTCGAACCACGGGCTCTCGAATACGTGTCGAGCGTGCTGACTATTACACCACGAAGGCATGCTAAGAAGGCAGAAAAAATACCTTATATGCTACCCCCTTTAAAGGGCGACTGGGGGTTTGGGGACCCAATCGAAAAATCCTGGTGGTGAAGAATCATCGGTAACCACCTTTTTAGTTCGGGCTCCACTGCAGAGACATTAGGTATTTTTTGAAAGCAGGAGAGATGAAAAATGAGCAATACCTTCGTTCGGACTCTCACCACGGACCTCTCGAATACGCGTCGAGCGTGCCGACCACTGCACCACGAAGGCATGCTAAGAAAGCTGGAGAATACTCTATAAGGTAAAAATCTAGCGCTAGCACTGCTAAGATTATAAATTTAAATTTAATTATTTTGTTTTATTTTCCATTATCCCCTAGGAAATGAAAAGATAAAAATATTGTAAAATAAATCTTATTAAAGGTAAATTCTTCAGAAAACTGGGATAAATGTACGGAGAAAATACGTAGTAGAAGTTTTCAATTGTAATGGGATTCATATTAAAAAACTCAAAGTAATACATATAAAAAGAAATTTAATTTTAATGACTGTCGATCTCATAGATGAATGCTGACTTTTCAAGGGGAATTAGTCTTTTACATACATCAATCTATATATAAGACCTTTCTATATATAAGATCTAAATATAAAGACCAATTTCTCTTTAAAAAACAGCTTGTATGTATAAGTCTTTTATAAATATAAATTAAATTTTAGATAAAAATAGTCATCTTTTCTAGTCACGTAATGAAATTTGAATAACAAAGCCATTTTAAAGGGAAAAGGAAATATGGCGTTATCGTGATGATCAATTTATTTTCGTATTTTTAATAATAAAGGAAGTATTATTATCAGAATGCTTTTAAATGGTAAAACAGAAAAAAGGAACATATCACTTATTATTATTAGTAGTAGTAGTAACTATAATAAATGCAGATGATCAATTAATACTTAAGACTCCTGTATGTAGCAGACTATCCGTTTTTGTTTTCAGAATTTCTTGAGACCTTCATTTTAAGTTAAAAAATCAACAACAAGCCGCGCAATATCATCAACATTAATATTAAAGTAATTTTTTGTGACGCAAAGAAGCACGGATTACCAGATAGCAAACGGTCAACTCAAAGTAACTAAATAATACATAACATAGCAACTCCGAATACTTACACATATGCATAGCATCTTCGAATAATTCAAGCTGTATTACAGAACTGTAATATGTCCAATAAAATTAGTGAATAGCTTGATTCTGATAATAAAAGTAATAGCGAACTTTCTTGCACAGTAGAGTGAAATTTCCTTCTCCTAATTTCAGGTCATGGTACATACGAGCCAGTTTTCCTTAGAAAGTCCTCCACGAAGGCAAAGTTCGTAACATTTATTACATAATTGCTATTATTAACACGAAGGCAAAGTTAAAAACATTTATTATATAATTGCTATTATGAACAATCTCGAGCATTCTGTTCAGCGTTTTTTCAATGTTTTCCCTTAGCATATAGGATTATCTATAAGTATGAAAACCATCAGTATAATCACTGAACTTTGACAAACATTGTACTGAAATGATGTAATATTTTCATCAATTTTTATTGCATTCCAATGTATAACATACATGTAATACATCATTTTAATTTATCATATTGTACTATTATTTCCACTAACTTGTACTGCATTTCGAGCCTCAAAATTTAAGACAATAAATGGTTTTCAAAGAAAATTATTCAAAATGGCTTTTTGAACTTTTATTAGCTTCAGTATTGCTCATCCTGAAAAACCTTTTTCAAAAATAGTTTGAAATCAATCTATGAAACAACCCGTGTTTCATAATACAAGGACGTAAATTTGACTAAACCATGGTAAACACGCATCTTAATTTGGCCGTCATATTGAGGAAATTTGGTCATTACTTACCTAATTCATTGCTCAACTACTAACTTGCTCTGATTTAGGAATGAACATTATACTGTTTTATTTTCTGTGATATATATATATATGGAAATAGTTGATTATAGAATTATTAATAAACAGGAATATATATTATAGAATTATATATATTCCTGTTTATTTTCTCAACACATCGACCTAACACATTCATATGACAGCCAGCGAATGTTTTAAAACTTAACCCTTGCAATTTTTCAAAATTAAAAAAAGTACAATGCTCTTTAATAACTTTATCTCGCATAATATCGAATAGGAACAATACGCAAAGATATGGCAAAATGATTTATGGAATATTTACCTTTTACGCTAATAGCTTCTTTCACACTAAGAGGCACTCCGAGGAGTGGGAATTCTTCTTCTAGTTCTTGTTCCGTTTTTTCGCCGGAACTGACCAGCACGTCCACGAAGGCAGCATCTTCCAAGGCTTCGGCGTACCTTTCATCAACAACTGCATTAATGATAGGATTGACCTCCTCAATCCGATGAATGAAAGTTCGAACTACACTGAGGCAACTCACCTATAAGTTAAAGAAAAAAGTCAGATATTATTTATTCCGCCAATGTACGGATTTTAGTAAAATTTTCAAGTTCGAAAGAGGACTCTTGGAAAGGAAAAATTGCAAAATATTTGCCTTTGTCACGATAAATTTAGTTTGATCTCTTGCCAAAGACAGATAGCTTGGCAAGATGTAAAATATTTCAGAGGTCCTTTGGCAAATTTTCTGCTAATGCAATGATAAAAGTCTTTTTATATATTTTCTTAATATCAATAAGGAAATTTTGGCTATTTCTCTATCCAAAGAGTTATATATTCTCTTTATTATTATCTGCTAATTAGTGTGAAGATGCTTATAGTTTCACTAATCATAATGCGGAAAAGTAGATGATCATTAAAGTTTTATCAGTTGGAAATGTAAATGCATGTGAAATGATGACGATTAGGGGGAAAGGGAAGTAATTATTCAAAAAGGCAACAGACAGCAATAATTTTAGAATGTTAAGTCTGTGTATTCCACAAAAAAGTCTCTAAAAAAATTATATGTCATTCAATTAATCAAAATTGCCTGCTAGAAAAAAGCATTTTGGTTTATCTTTGCTTGAAAAATTTTCGAGTAAAATTTAAGAAAGATTTCAGTATTTTAAGGAATATGAACTGATACTAAAAATGAATTATGGAAATGTACTTATACATCTGATTATGAAATAGCAGAAATTAAACATGTGCATATGTGAAGAGCAGTACAAGAAACAGTTACAGGTTTTTTTAAATTGGATTAAAAATTCCGCCACACCAGATGTTGGCACTACGCCGCCAATCCAACATTAGAGCCAGGACCAGGAGTTCAACTCCTGTGTCCTCCCACCTTGGAGAGGATTGACACCAGCTGCCATATGGCAGCGCTGTTCGTCAAATTGCTACATGCCAGTCGCTGGGGCTGCCCATCGTTCAAGGACATTACGCAGCGTACCCATTCAATAAGACTGGAGCCCACAGAGGCCGAGAGGTAAAGTCGCTGAATACTGGTAATTCGGTCCGAGGTTAGAACCCCGCGAACGGGCTAGCTGTATGGGCATTTTCGTGAGTTTTCCCATGTGTAACGTGTAAAAGAGCTAGTTTCCCTCAGAAAGTCCTCCACGAAGGCATCCCTCAGGCAGATATCCTTCGAGGCTACCGTAATCACAAAAACAAAACAAACAATAAGATTGGAGGGCTCATCAGTTGCCGAGCGTAAAAGTAGCTTAAAACTGGTAGATAGACACGAGTTTAAATCCCACCGAACGGGCTTGTTGAATGGGCGTCTTCGTGATTTTCCCTATGTGTAAAGTAGTTATGAGCCAGTTCCTCCTTCGAATGTCCATACATGAAGGCATCCTTTGGCAAATAACCTCGTGTATTTTACCATAATAACCAAATCAGTAAGACTGTAAACATACCTAAGCATTGCTCCATATTAATGGTGTGTTTAAAAGTATATAAAGGAACGTGAATGTAAGGAGTTATACCTAATTTTGAAAGACTAAAATAAAATGGAATATTATGAAGACAATTAAAGATGAATTTTTCAGAACAAAACTATCATTTAAAGGCAGTAACTGACCTGAATGGGAGTAATAAGATGCAAAAAGAGGATTTACAAAAAATGCTGCAATAACGAAATTGACGGTATTAATGTTTATGAAGGTAAGTGTCGAACATTTCGGAAAGGTGCTTCGATATTTAGCCGCGCTTAAAGTACTATAATTATTATTTGAAAAATTATAAAAATTAATTTAAATAATGCAACAATTTCTTTTTGATATCAAAAGCGAAAAAAAAGAAAAACGTTTTGTTTCATAAATTGCTTCAAAACTTGGTTATCAAGGTTCAAGGAAAGTGTATTTTTTAATTATTTTCAAAAATGAATCTACAGCAGGGGTGTGGCAAAACGCGTCCTGCTAGCTGAATGCCGCTGTTTTAATTGCTTAATCTGGTGTAATGAAGTCCTCTGCAAAGATATTTTCATTTTTTTCCTACCAGATTTTGAATGCAAACTTACAGAAACCAGCAGCATGAATGCGCATCTATTTTTGCAGTGCATATCCGCATTTAGTCCCTGAACGCTGGTAGTTCGGTCCCAGGCTTGAATCCCGCGAACGGGCTGGCTGCATGGCTGCATGGGCGTTTTCGTGGTTTTTTTTCCTCATGTGTAACGTGTTAATACGAGCCTGTTTCCTTTAGAAAGTCCTCCACGAAAGCATCCCTTCTTTCCGTGTAGAGCCTTAGGACGGAACACGTAAATAATAGTACATGCTCATTTATACGCATGGCTATACTAGACGTCAACCTCAGCTAAGAACATTATTTATGCTATAAAGCATGTGCATCCGTCTGAGAATATAGTTTTATCATTTCTAGGAGCTTTAAATTAGAAATTAAGTAAAGAAATATGAATATTGTTGAGATAAAAACACTGATCAGAAAAGGGAGCTTAGGGAAAAGACATATCATTTCTAAATATTTAAAAATGAAATAGTGCACATGTCAGTTGTTAGATGACAATAAGAACAGATCCCATTTTTGACGTATTTGGCGAAATGTATGAAAATAAAAATGTACGTCAAGCTATAAATTTATAACGATGCATTTTTAGCCAAAAGGGCCCAGAAGGGCTATTATTTTCGTTTCAGGATTTTGCGTCGCCCACAATAAAACAGCGTTTCGTTTTTCAAATTGTTGCCGCCAAATATTAAAACCCTGCATTATATTTAAAGAAATTGAATAATGAAGAGTCCGCATGAATGTTTGAATGTTTCTCGCATTGTGAAAAAGAGCCATCAAATTTTGAATCCTCCACCCGAATACGGGGATCTGGAAGCCCAAATTTGGAATTTGGAATTTGTTTTATTATCTGTTTCATATTTTGTAAAACTTTAAGGAATTTTTGATTAAGAAACTCAACGTTTTCAAAGGAAGCAATGGCAACATTGTACGAAAAAAAAAATTATCTCTAGGGCACGAGACTGTGTATCGAAAATTTTAAAGATTTACTCTTTTTAAATGTTTTGTGATGTTGCTGTTGAATTGAACTTTATAGTTTAAGTGCGAAGAACATGATATTTAATAAATAAAGGTAACACACAAAACGTTAAAATAAACATCCCGTTAAAAATAATATAAAATCTGAAAGCTTTCTTCTTATTATTATTTTTATTTTTTGCTTCGTAGTCCTCGAAACTTATTGCATGTTATATTTCATTGATTGACCCGCATGCAGTGCCACCATAATATCTTATTTACTATCTGGGGTTTATTTAAAGTAAAAAAAATGAAATGCTATTTTAAATCGCATTTTTTTTTACTATTATGTTTATCAGGAAAGGATGTTGCTTTTTGCCCATTGCCTCGTGGCAAACAATACGGGCATCGCCAAAAGCACCATTGCACTTTGCAACGGCTCTACCCGCACGATGTCTTTTTTCCTTGTGATTAAATCTGCTTGCCCACCGCTAATCTGTATTGTGTACTGAGAATACGGCAAAGCACACTAGGGCTATCTGCCTAAGGGGAGGGATGCCTTCGTGGAGGACTTTCTAAGGAAAACTGGCTCGTATACACGTTACACATGGGGAAAACCACGAAAATGCCTATGCAGCCAGCCCGTTCGCGGGATTCGAACCTCGGACCGAACTACCAGTGTGCAGCGATTTTACCGCTAATCTGTAAGATAGGAAGAGTATTAAATAGCCTCTTTGAAATGAATGATCTACTGTGTTCTAATAAAAACCAAAAGTAGACAATTTTGCATTTGATAGCATATTTATTGGCTGAGGAGAAGAGAAAGAAAAACACAATTAAAAAATCAGCTCAATTTTCAGATTCATCATATATTTTCCAAATACACTCTTTTGCAAAAAAAATCAAAGCACCATGAAGGAAGTGGTTGTTTTTGATGAAGCTGAGTATATATATATATATAGCTCATACAGAAAAAATAAAATGATTAAAAAATCAAGGTCATAGCACCTGTTCACGGCTGACAATCATCCATTGAGTGTTCAAATTAGTAGTTGGTCGAACCACCCCTGGCGGCAATGCATGCTTGAATTCCTCGAGTGGTAGAAGTTCCTAATGTCAGAGTCCAGATATGCGAACGGTATGTGGCCTGGCATTATCTTGTTGGAAAATGGCCCCAGGATGACGTGGCATGAAGGGTAATGCAACCGGCCACAGGATGGTACCAACATATCGTTGAGCTGTTAAAGATGTACGTACGGAGGATGACTAAAGATGACCTGCTATCATAAGAAATAGCGCCCCACATCACATATCACACACCATCACACCAGGGGTTATGGCTGTATGTCTTTGTAAAACAAAGGCTGATTGGGATCACTGGCCTTGTCCTCTCCAGAAAGGATTACGGTGGTCATCTGCTTCAAGAGTAAAGCGGGATTCATCGCTGAACGCTATACGATGCCAGTCTGATGGCAGCCTTGATGATTGGCTGCGACACCTCTCCAGACAACTTCACCGATGTTGTGGGGTCAAAGGTTAAGACGTCTAAAAGGCCTCTGTGAGCGTAACCTTGCATCAGACAAACACCGTGAGATGGTGGCCGGTACCACGGGAAGTATAGACGTGGCTGTAGTGCGTTGAATAGTCGACAATCATACCTTTGGAGCGGTTCGGGCCTGGCGAACAATCATCCTATCTTGCCTCGCATTTGTGCTCCTTGGCCTTCCAGAGTCTTCATTTCGTCGGCAATTTCCTTGTAGCAACCATTGCTGCCAACATCTTTGTACAGCAGCGTCTATACGCTGAAGGTGGTGGCTTATTGCTCCGTATGGCCACCTAGCTTCCTGCAGCCCTACATTGCGACCACGTTCTAAATCGTTTAGTTGTCTTTAAGGCCTTCGATATCGTCGTAATGGCATCGTTAGTTGCTTCTTTACGGAATTACAATGGCAGCAACAAAAAAAGATAAATTTTCTGCTTCTGTTACTAGTTTTATACTTTGCGAATTGCGCACTAGAAATG